ATGTGATGTCATGTGATCATGTCACGTGATCATGTCATCAGGTCACGTGATCAGGTCATGTGATCAGATCACCTGATTGGTCACGTGATCGGGTCACGCGATCGGGTCACGCGATCAGGTCATGTGATGTCATGTGATCATGTCACGTGATCATGTCACGTGATAGGGTCACGTGATCGGGTCATATGATAGGTCAAGTGATCGGGTCACGTGATCAGGTCACGTGATCAGGTCACGTGATCAGGTCACATGAGCAGGTCACGTGATCAGGTCACGTGATCAGGTCACATGATCAGGTCACGTGAACAGGTCATGAATCCAGGTCACGTGATCAAGTCACGTGATCAGGTCACGTGAACAGGTCACGTGATCCGGTCACATGATCCGGTCACGTGATCAGGTCACATGAGCAGGTCATGTGATCAGGTCACGTGATGAGGTCATGTGATCATGTCATGTGATCAGGTCATGTGAGCAGGTCATGTGATCAGATCATGTGAGCAGGTCACGTGATCATGTCATGTGATCAGGTCATGTGATCAAGTCATGTGATTGGTTCATGTGATCAGTTCATGTGATCAGGTCATGTGATCATGTCAAGTGATCAATTCATGTGATCAGGTCATGTGTTCAAGTCACGTGATCATGTCATGTGATCACTTCATTTGATCTTGTCATGTGAACAAGTCACGTGATCAGGTCATGTGATCGGTCACGTGATCAGGTCATGTGATTGGGTCATGTGATCGGTCATGTGATCGGTTTGTGTGATCCGGTCATGTGATCGATTCATGTTTTCAGGTCATGTGATCAGGTCATATGATTGATTCATGTGATCAGGTCATGTGATCAGGTCAGGATCGGGTCATGTGATCAGGTTTGGATCAGGTCATGTGATCGGGTCATGTGCTCGGTTCTGGATCAGGTCTGGATCAGGCCATGTGATCAGGTCATGTGATCAGGTCTGGATCAGGTTATGTGATCAGGTCATGTGATCAGGTGGTTTGAACCGGTTCTGTAAACAGATGATGTGAACAGAACATCCTGTTCTTCCTCACCTCTGACAGATGGAGTCCTGATCAAACCTCGACCTCCTGTATGAATTTTGGCTGCAGGGAAGCGGAACTGACCCGGTATGGCTGCGTAGGCTTGGGGGGCATAAAACACCGGCGCACCGAGGTATGCTGCTGTTGGATCATACACCTGCAGGAAGAGGGAAACATTTTATTTATTTTTAGACTTTTAATTTAAATTAAAAGTTTTGCTAGACAAACTTTGAATTTTCAAAGCTAACTTATACAACTTACATGTATCCAGCAATGATTTTAATGTTTAAAGTTAATTAATTTTAAAGTTATTAACATTTTTAAGTGACAAAAGAGGACCACTCTGTTTTGAAGTAGCACTAATGATCCATTTATATTATCTAACGTTTTAGGCAAAATGCCTGTAGAGAACATTTGCAATCATTATGTAATAAGCCATGTTAATTTTGGTTCATTTTTACTATAACTCAACAAAATTACTGAACTGAGCGTTTCTGTTTGAAAACAGATGCTTTATTAAAACAGATTTTCTGTCTCTAAATCAGAGTTTCAAACAGGAAACATATTTTTTATACCAGTAAGGAGCTATATGTGCTGTAGAAAGCTTTCTAGTAAGATGGATTTCAGATAAAACTAATTTAATATTCATGAAATAATGTATAAAGTCCTAAAGTTTGCACAGTTCTTCCAGTGTAATGAGAAAAGTTTCCACTGGGTGGTGCTGCTCCACGTGACATCACAGAGGAACTGATTGGCTGAATGTTGAGACAAGAACACAGAGTACACTCCTTATCTCCAGCTTTCTCAGAGATTCAGTGTGATCAGAGTTTCACTTGAGTCCAGATTAAAAAACAACTTTATTCTGATGAGTATAAACTACAGGCAGAAATAAGTCTTAAAGGTTTTATCTCAGTGAAGCTGTAAATCCTTCATCCAGAGTAAAAGACAATCAGTGATCCCGGGACCTGCTTTGTTCTGTTGGACCTGAACTCTCAGATGTATGTGATGTCCTTCCGGACCTTCAGCTCAGAGTCCTGCACTCCTACCTGGCCCAGGCTGTAGGTGGTGTAGTCAGTCTGCAAAACCGAGCCTCCTCTTCCTCCAGTTCCTCTGGTGTAACGAACATAACTGTCTTTGTCCACCGGTTTGGCCAGAGTCACTTCAATGGGAGAGCCATCCACCACCTACGTGTGAGACACATTTTAGAGACAAAACAAGTTACTTAGTTTAAACTGCAGCATAAAACAGAAGAATTGAGTCAGGAGGTGAAGGTCACATTTTTTTCTTAGAATTTACTTTCTTTTTTATCATTATTTTCTTGTGTTTTGTGTTGTTCAGAGAAATGGATTCTGTTTTCATCCGGTCAGGAGGAGATCTGAGGACTGACCTTCCCATTCAGAGCGTTCCTGGCATTAATGGCATCTTCTCTCTGACTGAAATGGACGAAGGCGTAATCTCTGATCTTCTTCACTCGCTCCACTGCTCCTGCGTCACAAAAATGGTCTAAAAAGTTATATTAATTTCTTGATTCAGTTTTTTAAATAAAAATAAAGTTCTATTTAATTAAGACACAAAGATAGGTTACTGATGATGCGTTACTGACAGTCTGACCTCAGAGCCTTGTGTTGTACCTAGTTTCATGATGCATTTAATGACTGTCTGAACTCAGAGCTCTGTATTGTACCTGGTTTCAAGCTGTCTTTACTGACGATGCATTTAATGACAGTCTGACCTCAGAGCGTTGTATTGTATCTGTTTTCAGGCTGTCTGTACTGATGATGCGTTTAATGACAGTCTGAACTCAGAGCGTTGAGTTGTACCTAGTTTCATGATGCATTTAATGACTGTCTGAACTCAGAGCTCTGTATTGTACCTGGTTTCAAGCTGTCTTTACTGATGATGCATTTAATGACAGTCTGACCTCAGAGCATTGTATTGTACCTGTTTTCAGGCTGTCTTTACTGATGATGCGTTTAATGACAGTCTGACCTCAGAGCGTTGTATTGTACCTGGTTTCAGGCTGTCTGTACTGATGATGCGTTTAATAACAGTCTGAACTCAGAGCGTTGAGTTGTACCTAGTTTCATGATGCATTTAATGACAGTCTGAACTAAGAGCTCTGTATTGTACCTGGTTTCAAGCTGTCTTTACTGACGATGCGTTTAATGACAGTCTGACCTCAGAGCGTTGTATTGTACCTGTTTTCAGGCTGTCTTTACTGATGATGCGTTTAATGACAGTCTGACCTCAGAGCCTTGTGTTGTAACTAGTTTCATGATGCGTTTAATGACAGTCTGACCTCAGAGCCTTGTGTTGTAACTAGTTTCATGATGCGTTTAATGACAGTCTGACCTCAGAGCTCTGTGTTGTACCTGGTTTCAGACTGTCTTTACTGATGATGTGTTTAATGACAGTCTGACATCAGAGCTCTGTGTTGTACCTGGTTTTATGCTGTTGAATTCTTTCTCGATGGTTTCTTCTGTTGTCTGTAGCATCAGGTTCCTCACGTACAGAATCTTGACAGTTGCCATGGTGTCCTCATCGACCTCCACCTCAGGCTCCGCCCAGTCCACAGCGATGGGATGGCCCCACAATTGGATCCGTCCTGAGGGACAGGAGAGGTGAGTCAGTAAATAGAGGTTCTGATGGACAGAGTCTGTGTTAGAATATCTTCTACTGAGACTGGGTCTAGTATTTGATAAAGGTCTGAAATATGAGGGAGGCCTACATAAGCCCTTCAGACCTCTTCAATCAGCCAATAAAAGATCATCATGTAGTGTCAGTAACTGGTTGGTACCTGGTAGAAGTTTGCGTCGGGCCATGGCAGCTGCTCTGTGACTCTCGTACTCCACAAAAGCAAACCCTCGATTCTTGGATTTGTCTGCAGCGCTGGGGTAGACAATGACATCCACAACCCCGTCTGTGACCTTCCTCATCTCAGTCAGGATCTCCTCATGTTTCTTGGTTTTTGGAATTCCCCCCACAAACAAACGGCAGTTATCAACACTGGCACAAACACCGAGGAGACGCCCATTCCTGTCGGCCGAAGAACAGACAGGAGAACATCAGATTACTGTTAGATCAGAGACCTTGTTGTGAAGGTTGATCTGGTGGTTTTACAGGTGTAGTACAGGTAATCTGTCAGTGGTTATAAAAGTTTTAGGTGTTTAGTTTGTCAGTGGTTACCAGAGTTACAGATGGTTGGTTTATCAGTGGTTACCGGAGTTTTAGATGGTTAGTTTATCAATTGTTACAAGAGTTTTAGATAGTAAGCATATCAGTGGTTGCCAATCTTTAGATGATTGGTTTATCAGTGGTTTCCAGAGCTTTAGATGGTTGGTTTATTTGTGGTTACTAGAATATTAGATTGTTAATTTGTGAGTGGTCATTAGAGTATTAAATAATTGGTTTATCCATGGTTACCATAGTTTTTGATGGTTGGTGTATCAGTGGTTACCGGAGTTTTAGATGGTTGATTTATCAGTTGTTACAAGAGTTTTAGATGGTTGGTTTATCAGTTGATATCAGTCTTTAGATGGCTGATTTATCAGAGACCTTATCTCGTAGTTGTTGAGCTGTTTCATGGCTGCTTTGGCTTCCTGTTTGTTGCTGAAGGTGACAAAAGCGTAGCCTCTGTTGTTTCCGTTAAAGTCCATCATCATCCTCACCTCGTAGAGTTTTCCAAACTAAAACAGAGAAGAAGACGAAAAAAAGAATATTTCACAACAAATTCAGACTCTTATTTAAAGTCAACTTTATTTAGAAATCGTAGTTACATTTTTATTTATCACCTTTTTTTATAGTTTTGAACTTTTAATACCAAATAAATTCTGCATGTTTTATCTTAAAGGTTTTAATCCGGTTGGTGCCATGGTGAGTATCACCATTTGGTGGAGGGCCAGCACACAGCAAGACTTCAGGCAGAAAGACAGAGTGAAAAGTTAGCCTCAGACAAACAGTTTCTGTCTGAACACCAGAAGCTGGGTCAAAGAACTTCTTCTGTTCGATGGCTCTACAGCGTTTTATGGAGGAGAAATGAGGAGTTAAAAACCTTCACTTCCTGTTTGGAAGAGAATACACTGAACTGAGACACAAGGGACATCAGTGAGAGTTTGGGTGTGTGACCTTAGACCTCTGACCTATGAGAGGAACCCATCAGAGACAGAAAGACTGAGAATTGGATGAGAAAAGAAGTGTTAAAAACTGGCATGTTGGAAAGATTCAGAATATAACGTGAACATTCTGAGATAGTAAAATCCTCCATCTGAACCTGTTTGTGTAAAAAGTTTTAAAGTTCTGAAAACATCAGTTCAGTCATGTATAGTTAACTTCCTGTGACCAGTTTAATCTCTGAATGATGGCTCTGAGCTGAAGATCCAAACAGGACTGGGTTTGACACTCACTAAAAGTAGCTGCGTATCCATTGCAAATGTGCGCAAAACTTTGTCGATGATCTGTTAATGTCGAAAAAACACAGTTTCGCAATTGCGGTGTTTCCATTAAGTAAGAAATGCTATTAAAGTCACGCGTGAATATGTTTCTTCTCGCGATAAGTCATTACAAACATGGCGGCAATGGATGTAAACATATGCATAATTTCTACCATGACACTAGCGCTCATCATCAGAGGAGACAACGATGTCTTATTGAGGCTTTCTAGCGACAAGCCCCTTATACTTGGGAGCGGCTACATATGCAAAATGTGTTTGACGTCTCACCTTCTCACACAGAGGGACCAGTTCATCTTCAAACAGATCTCTGGGAAGTTTCCCCACAAAGATCTCGCTGCCCCTCTCAGGTGGGGGTCCATCCCAGCCAGGTGGGGGTCCACCGTACCGCCGTTGACCGTTCTCCTGGGACAGAAACCGGCGTTACTATCCATCTAAACTTATGAAGTTCTGCTCTGGGAACCCCGAGCTCTGGTTCTGGCCTCACCTGTATTAGCTGGTATCCAGTTCTTTGGACCAGGGTCCGCAAAGCCGCCTCCTTCTGAGTCCCGACCAGTCCGTCCCCGCTTGCTTTCTGATTGGAGTCCATTGGGTGTGATTGACAGGATGTGAATCAGGGAAATTAGGGGTGCTCACTGAAAAACCAGAACCACCCAAAAGACATGTTATCCTCAGACTCAGCTGCGATCGCACCTGGTTTCAGTTCAGTTTAAAAAGGTTAGAAACATTTTTGTATTTGCTAAGGTTGACTAGCTGTGGCGGCCATCTTGAATCAGGTAGATTTCAAGAGCTAATAGCTGTAAAATTTCCATCCAAGGACTTTTAATTAAATTTGTTGACTGGTTGAGGAGATATTTTGCTAACAGACAGGTATGTGTGATCATGTGATGGTCCACCATGTTGGAGGCTGATAATGAATGGATTAAAAATGCTGAAATCATCTTTTTGTTTCTGCAGGCTGTTCCAAGAGCTCCCCTCTTCTAAACTAAAGAAAGTGTTGTCTAAACTTTTTATTTTCTGTAGAACGAGTCAGTTTTCTAATAAAAGTTTTTTTAAGAATATTTTCTTTCTCTATGAATAAATACATACAATTTGCCCTATTTTTTTTCTCTTGCATGGTACTTCACTTCGAACTCAAGTCCTCAACCAGAGATCTGGGAATTTGAGGGTTCTGTTCAAAATCTTTGGTCCACTTTAAACGGACCAGAGTTAATTTCATATGTTGGTCCTGACTTTTTACACAGGTGTGAATACACTCAGGTGAACCCTGGTGTGGATCAAACAATCGGACCAAGACCCACTTTTTGAGGTGGCATCGGTTCACTTCTGGTGTGACACAGACCAGCCTCAAACTGAACCAACTACAAGAAACATGAACCTTTTTGGACTTCACGAGCCACCGTCGCTGAGTCTCATGGTAACAGTTAGCTCTTCAGTGTTGCTAACTCTACCACTATGCAACAATGAGCCGTTGTGGGTCAGGATACACAGAGCATCTCTCAGAGCATTTGCAATTGCCATCCCAAAATTAGAAGTAGCCTACATCATTGTCACTCGTGGCTTTGTTTACAAATTATAGTCCGCTTATAAAAAAGCACAATGTGAATGCAAACCGCACCAAACAAAAAAATAAAGACAGCTATTGGTCTGGGCCAAACAAGTGGATCAAGGGACTTTCCTAGTGTTCCTATAACTGAACTCTTCTGGGCACAGATCTCTGAGGTTGTTCCTGGGATCTGTTGGAGCCACTCTTCCAGTTTGGGGGTCACAGCATCGGGTGCTCCAGTGACCACTGAGGTCTTCTGTATTTCCTCTTTCATCCCTCGGTATTTCTCCAGCTCCTTCTTTCTTATTTTAGTAATTTGAGATCATTGTCACCGCTACTTGTCGACCACCACAGTGTGGGTTAGCCATCACCGGTTTGTCATTCCAGGTTTGGAAGTCCCACAGTGTCTGTACTGTTCTTCAGTTCAGCACTCTCTAGCCACTGTTGGGATTTGTTTGTAACAGCCACTTCCTCAATTTGCCAGTGGCACATCATTATTTATTTATTTATTTATTTATTTATTTATTTATTTATTTATTTACTTTTGTTTAGACAGGTAATCTCGCTGAGACAGGTAGTCTCATTTACGAGAGTAAGGGCTTATTTTTCCATGAAGGCTTCTCTTGTTCCTTCTCTTCCTCGTCGGACATTCATTCATCAGAGTCTAGATGTCAGCAGCTTGTATCTCCTTCTTTGATCATACCAGCTGGGTATCTGACCAGCACTGCATGCATTTTGATGACTCTTGCTGTTCAGCTGGCTCCTCAGGACCTGTCATCTCTGTAGGTACTTGGTTGTGGTTGAATTTCTTGCAGCCTCATCATGATCGCCTTTTGCCTGTGGGAATCCAAGGTATTTGTAGCTTTCCTGGACATCTGCATTGTTGCCCTCGGGTAGTTCAACCCCTTCAGCTGTGATCACCTTTCTTCTCTTGCAACTATTCGACCACATTTATCCAGTCAGGAAGACATTCCAGTGTATTGGCTGTATATCCTGGTGAGGTGGGTCAGTGAGTCGATGTCTTGCTCATTCTTGGCGTACAGCTTGATGTCATCCAAGTAGAGGAGGTGACTGAATTGCTCCACTTTGGAACCGATTTATCCATAGCCACTCTTTGCAGTGAGGGATGAGGGAGTTCAGGGGTTTGCAGATGATGCCACATTTGATGCTGACTGGTTGTACAGTTTCAAACACTCCAGGCTTCATGTATGTGGCATCGAATTACAGTCCGTCCAGGTTTGTGTTGTTCCCTGCCCTCATCCATGAACGTCTTGTTCCAGAAGACCATTTGTCATCAGAATGTTCTGGTTCCCCGTCTGACCGAGACCTTGTTAATCCAGGTGATGTCTGAGTCAGCATCATTTCTACGTCTCTGGCTCGTTACATAACCGAGGTTGCTCGGAGGCTTGCAGCCCCGGGGTCGAACCCTGAACCCTGTTCTTCCTGTACCAAAGTCATGCGACATACAGTAACCTTCAGAATTCCTTAGATTTTGGTTTTTAATGATTAAAACTCTGACTGAAAATAAAGTTAGAACTTGTTTGGATCAAAGGTTTTATTGGGATCAGAGGAATCGTTTTAAACCTGAAGCTTTTCAGAACATTAAACTAAAATAAAACAAGCAGCTGTTTGAACATTTTTCTCTTTTCGTAGAAAATCTGCAAAAAGACGGAAGCTACATGTGATTTTATTTAAAATGCAAATATTAATTTACACTCAAACAACAGCTGGATTCATGTTTACTTTGATTTTAAAAATACACTAAACTCACATTTTCTCCTGAAACATAAACCGACCTGGTACCTGAAGAGAACGTTCAGGTGTCGACAGACCGACCTGTTTATTCAGCTTCAACACAAACCACAGAAGAAGAGTGGGCGAGCGACATTCACTTCTCTCTCTCTCTTTGTGTTTTTAGTCAAAACCTTTAAATTTGATTTAAAATCAGAAAAACTCACCTGAGCAATTTCAGAGATCACCTCCGTCTGATCAGAGCTGGCTCATTCTGAGTGTGTGTTCATGTGTCGTCAGAGACCTGTGTGTGTGTGTGTGTGTGTGTGTGTGTGTGTG